TTTTGGATAAATAAAACTCTTCTGGGGAAGTTTGTCCGTATGCAGATTTCACTGAACAAAGTTATGAATGATCTGAAAATATTGCACAACACAGAAGCCAGTTGAATCTGGACCGAGACCAAAAATAAGAGCGTAGGTAAAGAGAAGAGACAGAAGCTGGAGAAAGAGTCAGCTTTGCACTGTCAGTGGTGCTAGGGAGAGGACATGGCCATAAGGCAGTAACTGAATGCCGCATATCATTGGAAAACCTTATTTTGTCCAATAGTTAAGACCTTTCTGTAAGCTATTTACTAGAGTTGCTGACAAGTATATTAGAAGAGATTATATATTAAAGGGACCCATTCTGTTCCAGAAAATTAAAACAAGGAAGCATTCAGTAGAATCTGAGAGGATGAAAGACAATACTATACCCTATATTCATAGGTAGTAAAATTAGTACAAATATGTGTATGTTTGTTTAGACACTCATTTGCCTTAAATATTTGAGATTTGAATTATGCACACTTCCTCTCCCTAATACTGGTATGCAGTTTGTCCTAATGAGCCTCAGGCAAAGAAAGTTTGAATTATACAATATGTGTAAACCTCCCATTGAATGGTAATTAGTTTGTTCTGCTTAGCAGCACTTAATGTTAAGGTTAATAGTTCAGAAAAATTTAAAAAAATTTTTTTGTAGTTTATTCCTTTTTGACACAGAGAAAGAGCGCAGGTGGGGGAGGAGCAGAGAGAGAGGGAGACACAGAATCTGAAAGAGGCCCCAGGCTCCAAGCCATCAGCACAGAGCTTGATAGGGGCTCAAACCCACGAACCGTGAGATCAAGACCTGAGCTGAAGTCAGATGCTTAACTGACAGAGCCACCCAGGCGCCCCTAGTTCAGAAAAATTTTAAAAAGCCAGTGACTTGATCTCTGATATGTATGGGATAGATAGGCCGAGAATCAGGAAAAGCTTTTATTCTGTGTCAGTAACCATTTAATTCCCGAGTTTGTATCTAAGCCTCTTGTTTACATTTATTGCATGTATGACTATGGAGTCAGGTGACAACATGTCTGAACTTCGCCACTTATCCCAGACCCAAGACAGAGAAAATGTAGTCCTATTATAATAGGAACTGTTCTTTCACCTTTTTTTTCTAAATTTTTATTTATCTGGGGTGTTGTTATCAAATGTTACTCTTTTTACTTCTCAGTTGTCATAATTTAAAGGCAGCTTTTTGGTAAAGAGGCAGGAGCAAGAGCTGGGTAGCTTGCTTCTGTGAAGATTTGTTGGGTCAGTGAAATTGACGGTGGGCATTAAATACCTAGGCCAACATGGGAGTAAAAAGTTATAAAATTTCTGGAGTTTTATACTTGACGTCATATATATGTGATTAAGACAAGAGCTTAAACTTTCTGTGGCACAGGAGTCGGTGTCCTATACCACTGTGTACTTTGCATTAAGAATTCTAGTTTGTCCTACAAACGAGCTTTAGAAATAAATCATGGAAGGAGTCCTGTAGAAGTTTTTTGTTATATATTGAAATTTACTATTTCTTAATGCTTAATACTAGAAAGTATGATGATAGGTATGGGCGCCTGGGTGGTTCAGTCTATTAAGTGTCTGGCTTCGGCTCAGGTCATAATCTCAGGGTTTGTGAGTTCGAGCCCCACATCTGGCCTCTGTGCTCACAGCTCAGAGCCTGGAGCCTGCTTCGGATTCTGTGTCTCCCTCTCTCTCTGTCCCTCCCCAACTTGCATGCTTGTGCATGCATGTGTGCATGCTCTCGCTCTCTCTCAAGGATAAACATTAAAAAAAAAAGTATGTTGATAGGTAAAAATCTGTGTGTTTTTAAAAGTCACATTTATAAACATATGTGTAATCTCCATGAAGGTTAAATATTAGGCAGCAACGCTTGGGTATTCTAGAGCCATAATTAGAATACTGATTGCAAATTGCCAAAATTCAGTGAGTCAACAAACCAATTAAAAAAAAAAACTCAAGGATATTAGATTTCAAATGTTCTTCCTTAATTTAGTTTTCCCATTATACTTTATTTTAATTATTCATAGTATTGCTTCACATGCCAGGAAATGTCTTGTAATAAAATTTATAAAATAATGTAGTTTCAGTAATATGAATACTATCTTTAGCATTCTGCTTGCAAATCTCAGATTGAGAGGTTTTGTAAGGAATCATCTAGTTTGATGCATAAAAGCACGTCTTTGCATAGTAACTTTATCTATTTTAGGACTTTGAAACCAAATGCTCACTTGAGAAAAATAAATGGAATGATTGGTATATGTCATTTCGTTGTTGTTACTGTTGACAGATAAGGAAAAAATTGTAGGAAGAAGAAAAAGCACATAGTCTACTAACACAGAACAATATTTTTTCATTTTAAGTATTATTTTATTTCCTTTTTTCCCCAAGTTCTTATTTAAATTACAGTTAGTTAACATGCAATGTAATATTAATTTCAGGTGTAGAATTTAGTGGTTCATCACTTCCATACAACACTTGGTGCTCCTCACAAGTGTCCTCCTTAATCCCCCCATCACCTCCCTTCTGGTAACCATCCGTTTGTTCGTTACAGTTAAGAGTCTGTTTTTTGGTTTGCCTCTCTTCTGCCTGCCCCTTATGTTCATTTGTTTTGTTTCTTTTTTTTTTTTTTTAACATTTTATTTATTTCTGAGAGAGAGACAGCATCAGCAGGGAAGGGTCAGAGAGAGAGGGAGACACAGAATCAGAAACAGGCTCCAGGCTCTGAGCTAGCTGTCAGCACAGAACCCAATGCGGGGCTCGAACCCACAAACCGTGAGAGCCAAAGTCGGACACTGAACTGACTGAGCCACCCAGGCCCCCCTGTTTTGTTTCTTAAATGCCACATATGAGTGAAATCTTACGATGTTTGGCTTTCTCTGACTGACTTATTTTGCTTAGCACAATACTCTCTAGCTCCAAGATTTCGTTCTTTTTGTGGCTGAATAATATTCAATTATTCACATACACCACATCTTCTTTATCCGTTCATCAGCTGGTGGACGTTGGGGCTCTTTCCATAATTTGCCTATTGTTGATAATGCTGCTGTAAACATCTGAGTACATGTCTCCTTTCGAATCTATATTTTTATATCCTTTGGGTAAATACCTAGTAGTGCAATTGCTGGATCACAGAGTCATTCTGATTTTACTTTTTTGAGGAACCTCCATACTGTTGCCCACAGTGACTGCACCAGTTTGCATTCCCACCAATAGTGCATGAGGGTTCTCCTTTCATGGCATCCTTGCCAACACTTGTAGTTTCCTGTGCTATTAATTTTAGCCATTTTTGACAGGTGTGAGGTGATACCTCATTGTAGTTTTGATTTGCGGTTCCCTGATGATGAGTGATGTTGAGCATCTTTTCATGTGTCTGCTGACTATTTCTATGTCTCTTCGTGTCTTCTGCCTATTTTTTAACTCAATTTTGTTTTTTGGGTGTGAGTTTTAGAAGTTCTTTATAGATTTTGGATACTAGCCCTTTATCTTTTATGTTATTTGCAAATATCTTCTCCCATTCCCTAGGTTGCCTTTTAGTTTGGTTGATTGTTTCCTTTACAGTGAGTATTACTTTCCGATGCTTATTCATATACATAGTTTTCTTTTTTCTTTTGACATAGACCCTATAGGTAGATAGGGTTTGTTTTAGTGAAAGGCATAGCCCCTGCCCAACTATTTTTTCTGTATCATGCTAAATATTTAAGGGATACAAGATTGATATACATATCATTGACTTTGAGTGAGTTAAAGGTGCAGAAGAACAAGCAAGCCTTGAGGTGTAAATTCTAGTTGAAAATTTGAGCATTGATTTGCCATTAGGTCCATTAGGAGGTAGAAATAAGAAAGAAAGAGGTTTTCTTTTATGGTTTTGGTGTAGATTTTTGCAAGTCCAGGATCCACTTCTGTTTCCTGTTCTTACTATTAATGGTAGAGGGTCACCAATATGTTAAGTATGAATTTAAATTTTGTTCCTAAGTAGAAAGGGTCTATGGAGGTCATATATATTGAGGCACTTACATGAGTGAAAAAATAAGCAGCACATTTAAAATGGAATAAGCAGTGGTGAACTCTTTCCTCATGATTGAGCAACAGTAACTGCTCAAGACTTTTCAGTCCATTTGATGACCATTAGGTGACATCTTTTGTTGGATTTCTCTTTTCTTTGTTGATAGATGGGAGACATTACCTAACCGATGAAATTTGGACAGCCAACCAAAAAACAAAAAGGATTTTTATCTCAAATTGAGAATTCTTTTCCTTATTTTTGGGTCTTGTTGTTCTTTATATTAAAAAGCCACTTAAGATTTAATATTATCTGTCCTCACTATGGGACTCTGGGCTCTTTTTCTGCCTCGTCCTCAATCTGTGCCATAGGTGGATGCTGATCCCCAAAAACTGTCTGCACTTTAATCACTCCTTGTTGTGCTTTGCTCTAGTCACAGTCTCCAAGTCCCTTCTCATTCTTCCCTTCCCCATAATGCCCTGCTCATCCTTGAGGATCTAATTCAAGTGTCAATTCTCTATCAATTTCTGAACGACTCTTTTCCCATGCCCCCAACAGAAATCATGACCGCCTTCTTTTCGTGGTCCTGGCATCTCATTGGTGGCTCTTGGAACAGCCACGATTCCTAGATATGTCACAGTTCCTGAGAGAAGGGCCGTGTGTCACCCTTCCTTGTGTCTCCTAGAACAGGCGTTCGGCAAACATTTGTCGAACCGCAATGTTGAGAACGCCATGCTTCCCGTGATTGGGACAACAGCTGGCCTCATTAAATTCCTTGATCAGAGTGGCCCTCGTTCCCTGTGCTCCTCACACACCCTGTCCCCACCTGTTCCACTGTGGTGATTGGTGCCTAATAAGACTCACTCGCGAGCGCTCAAGGCAGGATCTTTGCGCGTGGATGCAGGGTGCAAGGGAGCCGGCCGGGGACCGCGTGTTGCTCCGGAGCTCTGACTTGCATTCTGTTGTCCCATTTCTGCAGGACCCGAACAGGAGCATTCATACCAGCAGCAGCAGCAGCAGCAGCTGTAGCAGCAGCAGCAGCAGCAGTAGCAGCAGCAGCAGCAGCTGTAGCAGCAGCAGCAGCAGCAGCAGCAGCAGTAGCAGCAGTAGCAGCAGCAGCAGCAGTTTTTCAAAGCCTCACAAGTTAATGAAGGAGCACAAGGAAAAACCTTCTAAAGACTCCAGAGAACATAAAAGTGCCTTCAAAGAACCTTCCAGGGATCACAACAAATCTTCCAAAGAATCCTCTAAGAAACCCAAAGAAAATAAACCACTGAAAGAAGAAAAAATCGTTCCTAAGATGGCCTTTAAGGAACCGAAACCCATGTCAAAAGAGCCAAAACCAGACAGTAACTTACTCACTATTACCAGTGGACAGCAAGACAAGAAGGCTCCTAGTAAAAGGCCCCCCGTTGCAGATTCTGAAGAACTCTCCGCCAAAAAACGGAAAAAGAGTAGCTCAGAGGCTTTATTTAAAAGTTTTTCTAGCGCACCACCGCTGATACTCACTTGTTCTGCTGACAAAAAACAGATCAAAGATAAATCTCATGTCAAGATTGGAAAGGTCAAAATTGAAAGTGAGACCTCAGAGAAGAAGAAATCTACTCTGCCGCCATTTGATGATATTGTGGATCCCAACGACTCCGACGTGGAGGAGAACATGTCCTCCAAATCTGACGTGAGTAGTTGTGTTGGTTTCCCTCCTTTCCCGTATTAGCCTTCAGATCTTCTTTCCCAAGGCTTCAGGATAAAGGATGAGGGGAGAAAATGACAGCTGGGCCATAAAATGGTAGCACGGACAGGCCTAGCGATGAATTTCCTTAACTAATGGAAAGAAGGAAATGAAATCATTAGGGAATCTGCAGACATTTGGACTGTGATGGAAATTGTTAAAGGAAAGATACATTCCGTAGTATGACAACGGGCCATTTTGAATAGCAGCAGGAAACTTGAGCTGCTCCTTGGGGCTAAGTTTCTGTGCTTTCCTATGGTTGCAGATTTAGGGAAATGAGAAGAACGCGATAAAACTTGGGTCAGCACAGAGCCTGATGCAGGGCTTGAACTCACAAACCATGAGATGACCTGAACTGAAGTCAGATGCTTAACTGGCTGAGCCTCCCAGGTGCCCCAAAACTTTAGACTTTTAAAGTTACTTATTAGTCCTGATCAGTCCAAATAAGCTCCTTACTGTAGCTTGTCAGTATTTCTAGATAATGGTAAAGGAAGATGTCTGGCTAGAAATTGCTAGCAATTTGAGACTATTTCTCTTTCTGCCCTGTGGATTCACCATACACATGTTCCTAATTCAAGTGCTGGCAGAGGTGGTGGGACTTAGCAGATTCTCTCTTCCGCATTTGCAGAAGAGGTAGAAGGGCAGAAGGGTTAGGACATGGAGTCATTACCAATCTTCTGTTGTTCAGAGACTACTTCCTTCCCTGCTATCCTCCATAGCTAATCTTGAAATTTTAATAGAAGATCAGATTGGGAGCACAGTAGCATATACAAGAGATTGGGGTAATCGGCCCCAGTGTTTGGTAAATGTTTCATAGTGATAGTCTATTGAACGAATGATGAGAACTAATGGGTTCATTCCAATATCTCAAGCATTTATTTTTCCTCTTGTGCTATTTACTTAGGGTCCTTAGGGTCCTCTTTGTTTTAATTTTTTTTAAGTTTATTCATGTATTTTGAGAGAGACAGAGACAGCACGAGCAAGGAGGAGCAGAGACGGGAGCGGGGGAGAGAATCATAAGCAGGCTCTGAACTGTCAGCATAGAACCAGAATCGAGACGCGGGGCTCGAACCCACAAAACTGTTGAGATCATGACCTGAGCCAAAACCAAGAGTCCAGCACTCAACAGACTGAGCCACCCAGGCAGAATAGGCTCCTCGTAGTACACAACTTGTTCTTAATTAGGTGTTACTTGGAAAGCTTTTTTGTATGTTTGACTTTTATTTCAAATCACCCTAAGATGTTCATTGATCCTCTTGGGGTGTGATTAGTCTATCAGGATTGTCAGGTTTAGCAACTTGGTCTTTCCGTATTCTGACATGTTATGATTCTTCATGAATAGAGGTTTTCAAATTGTGGCTTATGAGTCATTGGTGAGCCATGAAACCATTTTAGCATGTCGTCACCAGTGTTTAAAAAAATCAGAATATGTTGTAATCAGTATGGGTGAGTAATGGTTTGTAAAAATTTTATTTCATAGGATGTGTGTATTTCTTATAGTAGATCTTGGTCAGAAAGGCATCTTTCTTGAATGTTAGCTGATTTATGAGAAGATTAAATGACATTCCTAAAGCACACCTCTTTCTACATGAAATTATCCCAGATGATCATCACCTTTAGATAACTGTGCATATTTATTTTTGTCTCTTGCTCCCTCCCTTTTATATATGACTTATAAGATATGCCTTTTCTTTTCATAAACTTCATGTTCATCTTGGTATATTAATCCTAAGCCACACCTTGAAATATCTTTTGGAGTAAAGAGTTAGCATCATTAATTCCTTAGAGTAGGGAGCACATTTTCACAGCAGACCTAGGAGTGTCACATATCCAGTAATTGTTACAGGAAGGTTTGTAATGGCTTCTGCCCATCATTACAGAGAAAGCCTCTAAAGGCCTTTGGGTATTATTTGGGTATAAAACCCACCAGATATACAGTCTTTATCAGTTTTCTGGTAGTCGTGCTTTTATTGTTGCTGTTGTTGGTTTGATTCTCTAAATGTAGGTAGTGGAGCCGAAGAAAACTGATGAAAGTGGTTCCAAATAAGCCATGACCCAAAAGACCTTTCTGTGAACAAAGGAGATAAAGGGTTGCTAAAATTCCCTGTATGCCCTAGTAGACATCGCCTTTGTTTGGCTTTCTTCCTACCTGGTGCCCCCTCTGTGGGCAAGACAGAAGTATCACAATCCTACCTTTCAAGATATGCTATAAAGCTGTAGTAATCAAAAGAGTATGGTACTAGCACAAAAACAGACATATAGATCAATGGGACAGAACAAAAAAACCCAGAAATAAACCCATACTTTTATGGTCAATTAATCTATGACAAAAGAGGCAAAAATACGTAATGGTGTTGGGAAAACTGGACAACTAAATGCAAAAGAATAAAACTGGACCCCTTTCTTACACCAGACACGAAAATAAACTCAACACGGATGGATTAAGGACCTAAACATGAGACCTGAAACCTTCTCTGTACACACTTCATTCAACTTGCTGTGTGAGGAATGAGATTATAATCGCGACTTTTGATACTTTGTCTTTACCAGCGTTGTTTTCTTGGTTAAATTCTTCTCCCGGGAAAGAGGTGGAGTCTCTTCCGAATGGTAGCATTTTACCAGTGGTTGTTCAGATACAGGATAAAGAATTCAAATCACCTTAGCAGCAATTTCTTTTGGAAAGAAAAAAAAAGGAAGAAGGAAAAAGAAACTTCCCTTCTTTTGTTGTGCCTCATTTCCTCCCACTCCACCCTGTTCCTTGCCCTGCTTAAACTGTCTGGATCTGGCCATAAACATCCTGCTGTTGAAGCATTGGCCTTAGGTTTTTATGTGATGGAAGGCTGTGGCAGTCAGAGAAGAAGGTCTTTATTGTGTTTTCAAAGTGGCTTTTTAATGACTTGTAATTCCAGCAACATGCAAGAGCTGTAAAGGCTGTAAGGGTGGTGACTGAGCAGCTGGAGAGGCCATTCATTAAAGGGCAGCCCTGCCTCTGGGGGGCGGGGGGCAGGGGGTGTCTTGCTCTGGACTCCTGGTCTCTACATTTTATAGCTGGAGGTAAAGGTACCTGAAGGTTTGCAATTCTTCCTCTGATATATGCAGCTCAGTGTGGAGCTTTCATTAAAACAATAGGAAGAAAGTTAACTTCGTTGGGTGCATGGAGCTATATTTCACCTGCCCTTGTTTTCAATTGCTTTTTTGTTGGTTTTCTGTGTCAGATGTGATCGGGTACAGGAGTGGCTACAGTCTAGCCAATCCACTCTTCGTTTGCTCAGCCATATTCCTGACTTAGTCCAAAAAAGGATTTGGAGCAGTCAAAAGGGAGATTTTTACCTTAAAACAGAGGTAGGGGCTTCTTCTCTTCCTTGTTTGGGTATCATACTAAGCCTAATTTGTTTCACAGTTTTTAAACTAAATCATTGCTCAGAAGCCCTTAGGTAGCTGAGGGCCTTAGACAGGGGATCCTACCATTGCAAGATCAATGTGTCAATAACTGCCCAGACTCAGCATTTTTACTTACTTGTATTGAATCGTATGTCTCACGAATTCCATGAGCCTCCTTCAAAAGAGCTCTGTTGCCTCTTCTGTGCACTATTGTTTCTTACTCTGGGGCCTATTGTCTTTACCTGATTGTCTCATCTGTCATCTTTAGACACAAATTCAAAGATGTGATTCACCATGATCTTTGCATGGCCAGCTTTACCGTAGTATCTGGATGCCTGTAGTCAAACATTTCTTGAGTGCTTGCTCGTCCCCAGTCTAAGCACTTGACATGTTCTAACTCATTTAATCCTCAAAACAACTTTACAAAGTAGGTAGATTTATTATCCCTATTTTACAGGTGGGGAAACTGAGGCTCACAGGTTAAGAGACTTGGCCATAGTTGCCGTGTGGTGGAGTCAGGATTTGATCCAACTTGGTAGGGAGTTCACTTGAGGGTTTTTGGAATGAAGCAGATCTTATTTTTCCACAGATTCATCTTACATTTGCAGAGATGTGCTTCTCGACATTGGCATCAGTGCTGTGAAAGCCTTTGGGATAATGTGCTTGTTCCATTCATGAATCATGTTGCTTTGACCGACCTATTGATTTGGACTTTTACCAACACCCTTCAGGAAGGTTGTCCTTAGGGCTGGATTTGGCATACACCGGGAGGGAAGAGCTGTCAACTGTCCAGGCATCTCTGACTTCTCACACATGCCTGCTTCCAGAGCAACAGACTGCCGTGGTTCTGGATTTCACATTATTACGGGATCACTGTTTCCCTGCTCCCAGAGTTTTCCCACTTGCTTTTTGCTTTGGTGAGGGATTTATGTTTAACAGAGCTGAGCTGCAATATCAAGCTTTCCCAGAAGGTGCCACCAAATAACAAATGGTGTCCTACAGTCCGAAGATCACTTCTTTTTGAATCTTCTAGTTGTGTTCTGTAATTTCATTTTCCAGTGCCTCTAACGTTATTCAAAATGTAGGTTGTGCTCTCTTTGAATTAGGAGACAAGATAATACAGTGGCATAGGTAGAGGGTGGTTTTCTTTTGGAGTCTGTGTTATTCTTTAGCCAGGTCTGAGAAATTGTTCTCAGTGGGTAACAATTTATGACTGGAAACTTCCAAAGCAGTGTCAAGATCCTCAAAGAAAAATCACCCGGAGGAGGCTACTTTAGGTCACGAAAGGTGACTGCACAGTGAGATGTTCCCAGATAAAGTTGAAGAGCCTTCTATTAGGAGAAAATGGAAGAGCGTTACTAAAGTGTTTGGAGACAACAAACTGCCTTTGAATTCTGAGGACGCAGAGGATAGGGGAGGTTGGGGTGCTGGAATAGGGAGAAGTAGTCAGAATTGGTGACACAGAAAAGGCATTTCCTTGCTTTTCTTGCTTATGGGAGAAAATGTATGTATGGGGTCCTCAGATGTGATGGGGTATTATTTATTTATGTAACCATTTTTTTAAA